TGCACAGAAATGAGAAAAATGCTATTTTCGTGACTTCCTTTTGTAATCAGCTAAATTTATTCAATTTAAAGATTTACATTTTATTCTGAGGTTGTGGGTTTTTCTTATGTTTTGTGATATTACGATGTTGCCTATTTTGTGAAATAATGCTAATTACAAGTATTCAGTGGGTATCCCTTCATGCTCATACCAAAAGAAAAAGTTGACTAACATATATTGTTTTGAAGTGATATCTACATACTCAATGTATCATGAATGTATACACACACAAATGCCTACATACATATATGTATTGATGCACACATAAATGCCTACATACATACATGTATGGGCATATATACATACAATCTACACATGTGTAATTTCTTCTTTCTTTTTTTAGTTTAATGGTCAGTCCCATCCTAAATCTAGAAACTGCTGAGCTATCTCACAAATTGCCTTCTCTTAGAGAAGAAACATGATACACGGTGATTTACTAGCTCACAAGAAATTGCTAGGTCAACCAATGGGATGAACCAGCCAATGAGATGAGTCAACTAGAGAAAAATTCCTAATGTATTTCTTGTATCCTTTTGTGTCCTAGAGAGCTGACGATATTGCTGGTTATATAGTATGCACTCAAGGGAACAAGTCTTCCAGGCGGATTTCTTACTTGTCTGAATATTTATTAAAAGTTTATTTTAGTTGCAATGGGGCATAGGGAGAATAAATCCCAAATGAAATGTATACTTATAGGTATTCTGGATATAAGATGTATTAATATTTTTATGAAGCATTACTATGCAAACACATGCAGATTGAACTCCTGAGAAACAAATATGGCCAGATGACTGAGAACGTGTACAAATCCAGGCCACTTGTTGAAATAAAGCTTAAGGCTTCATTCTGTTCATCAGCATAAGCTCTTCAAAGCTCTCCTTTGTTTCTGTTGTAGACATTTTATTTGATCCTGATTTAACCATATAGTGGAAGTGTTCACATACCCACAAGCAAGCTGGGCTCTGAGTGATTTCAATTGTTATGGGAGTCCTTAGAATGAAAGTTTGATATATGCAACACTGTGCCTGCTATTTGATATTTAAGTCATCAAAAGTTATTTCTTTTTTCTTTCCTTTCTTAAAAGGTTCTTGGTTTACATAAGCAGGAAGTCCCAGAATTTGGACATTTCCATGAAAGCAAAGGTCATATTTGGAAACTGTTGGGATTAATTGGAGGCATCCATGGGTTTTTCTTGATAGAAAAATGTTTTGTTCTTCTTGTATCACCAAATGACAAGGTATATTTTAAGTATATTATATGTTTTGCTAATCTTTTGCTTTAGGATTTTATAATCATCTTTTATTTCAAAAGTACTTGTTCAAGACTAACAACGTCTTCATGAAGTTGTCTATGTAGGGGATGGAGCTCTGGTTTCAAGAATACACAGACCATTCTAACTGGCAGGTTCACCATAAATGTAGTTATTAATTTCTTTAAACATCTGTTGCTGGGCAGTTAATGTACTTATTGCAACCTTCTAATTAACCTTTATGGTTGGTTTAGAAACAGGACATTATTTCATGTCTGAGGAATGAAGAGGCCCAATGTCCTAGCTACTAATCAGTCTTTTGGATGTGCTTCCTAACCAAAAACAAATAAACAAGCAAGCAAAAACTTGGAAAATTCACAGAATCACCTGTCATTTTCTATCTTGAGGTCATTTAAAATGACAAAATCAAGTAGTTCAGGAATGGAATTTTTGGCAAACCTCTTTTTTCAGCTTGAATAACTTATTTTAGTGCCTGTATTGGATAAATGTCTACATATATGATAAAATGGAAAAAGTAGTGTGGTTCATTTGTAGATTATTTTTCCTTTGCTCATGTACATTACTGTATAAGAAAAATGGATTGCCTGTTTGGGATGGTTAAAAAAGAAAATGCTTGCAAAGAACTCCAGGAGATTAAAATAAAGCAATTTTCCCTTACAAAGTCCTGGGGCTCTACGGTTTTCTATGGTTTTCTCCTTATTCCTGCCTCTTTACCTGTTCACGTAACAACTGGCAACATAGACATGTAATATAATGCCTGTGCCTAGAGCAAACGTTAGTAGCCTTTTAAAATATAAGCACTTGTTTATTATTCCTAAATTTGTTCAAAATTCTATTTTATGCATCAAAAAATAA